CTTATAAGCTGTTTTAAGTTGACCATATTTTTATCTTTTTGTGCTTAATATTTTTGTACAATCTCCAAATTACCCATATAACCCTAACATTTCTTTCTTCCATTTTTCTCTTTTCACGTTTGATATAACAACTTCAGCACTTTTATCCAAACGAATAACTGCTTATTTTAAAAATAAGTTTTAGCACTTTTAAAAGTACTTTTTTAAAGCTACTTTTATTAAGTCCATCCAAACGGGCCCTTACACTTTAGTTCCTAAATTACCTTCATCACTAATTGTAGTTATTTTCTTGTTCAATTTTTCAAGATATTGTTTTTATTATATTTGAAAGATAATATACTTTTTCTGTCCCTAATTACCTGTTCACTTTTTTAATTGACAAATGTATTAAAAAAAATAATTATTGACATAGTAATTATTGAGTTTACCATTTTACGTCATTAATTATGAAGTTGATAAATTTAAAATTTAAAACTTTTTAAAAAATTCTTTCCTTTTCAAAGTAATTAAATAGGTAAAATATTTTATCTCTTTCTGATTTATCAAAAAAATATAAACAAGATGTTTAAGTATAACAACTTATAGAATAGAGTGATTATTTATTTATTTATTTTATCCTGTACAGACATTTATATTCTCCTAAAGGAATTAATTAATACTTCTTCAGTGGTGATCTAAAAGCACAAAATATGACTGTGGATCTGTGTTGACGTGAGTCACATATTTGTTTTAGTGGATGATAATGTACTTAGGCAATTCAAATCTTTTTACTCTATTTTATTTTTCAAATATATTTTTAAGAAAAATAAATTCAGACAATCAATTTAATATAATTTTTATTTTATCCTCTAAAAATTATATTTTCCTTAGTATATACTCCATTTCAAATTTATTAGATTGTTGAAGTGTTTCACACCCTTTAAGCAAAAAAATTAAGATATAAACTGAACATAATTTATATATTTATTCTTATTAATTATTATTAAATTTATAATTAAAATAACTAAAATTCTAATCAATAACGAATTTCAGTATTAACTAATAAAATGTAAAATTGGAATAACATTTTAAAAATAGTCTTAAAAATGAAATAATTAAGTTAATTTTTAAAAAAATGAAAAATAACAGAACAATTCAATTAATGTGAAATGAAGGAAGTGCTATTTCTAGTTCATGTTTGTTTCTTATTTCATAATATAACTCTTTTCTTTCCTTTTCTTTTTGCCAACTAATTACTTTATATAATTTTTATGTGTTATAAAGTTTTATTTTTAAAAATTTTAGTTAATTTAAAATTATATTTTTATCTAAATTTCTAAATAACATAACCACAATCGACAACAATTCTTTGGATCATATCCTTATTTTTTTTTGAATAGTGCTAAATCTTGAAACGACCTACTAAATTATTATTGTGATAATTATGTTATGTATTTTATTTTATCTTGTATTTAAATTATTATGTTATGTATTGTATCATAATCTTGTATTTAAATTGTTATGTTATGTATTGCATTTTAAATTATTATTATTTTCATCTGATCATTTTAATATGTACTCTTTTTAGTGAATTTTAATTATAAAATCAAATTATATCAATGAAAAAAAATTACAGTACTATTAATTTAGGATGAAAGTAGTATACATTATATAATTTTTTGAATATCATATTTACAATTTAAAAGAATTATGAATATAAGATATTTAATTATTGATATTACATGTAAAATAACATATTAATTAGAAAAAATATAAATAATAATAAAATATTAAAAAGGTGAAATAGAGGGTGTGAATAGTATTTTTTCAAATTTGAAGAAAAATTATTTGACTATCTAAATATGAAGAATAGAGAGTGATATAGAGGAGGGTTGAAGTGTCAATTCTCTATATTTTTACCCTCCAAATGTAAAGAATGGAGAGAGAAAAAAAAAGATTGGTTGGATATGGTCCTATTATTAGAATATAGATTGATATAGTAACACCATATGTAAGTTATTTTAATAAGATAGATGCATATATTAGCTTTGTGTATTATTAATATTTTATTTGATGTATATTTTAAAGAGTTTGAAAAATACTTCAAGTTTGATTGAAATTGTTGTCACGAATACCAAATTTTATGGAGGACCTTTTATCACATTTACTATCTAATAGTCTCTCTGTCCACTTTTATTTGTCATATTGCGTTTTTTGAAAGTCAGTTTGACTAATTTTTAAAGTTAAATTAGATTATATTAATTCAATTTTTTTTAAAAAAAATAGATATTCAAGAACCATATGAAAAGTACTATAAATTGCAATTTTTTGCATATTGATATGATGAAAAAAAACATCTTAAATGTTAGTCAAATTTCTAATAGTTTGAATCTAAAAATAGAAACCATGACAAACAATAATGGACAGAGGGAGTAATGTATTTTAAGGATATATTTGCGCCCACATGGACACATTATTATATATAATGATGCAATATTTTTTTATCTCCACATGAGCATATATATCTTTAAAATACACTATTAAATAGTGCATTGGGGTATAAGGTCATTTCCAAAGTTTGATATTGTTAGCTTATGTATAACTATATATTGAAGTTTGTGTTAACACCACAATTTTTGTGTATTAGGCATCTCCAACCTTTAACTCTATTTTATTTTCCAAATAAAGAGTTCTCTATTTTTTCTAGACAACCAACTCCAATCAAATTCTTTGTTTTACTCTCTAAATAATCTCCTCAATAGTATATGGATAAATTACTTATATACACATTCTTATTTTTTATTATTTTTATTATTTCATACCATTTAAAAATATTTTCAAAATCACTCTTTTTCTTTTCAAACATCATTCTTTCATATGCATAAAGTTTTAGACGTTTCTCATCCTATTTTTACTCCTTATTTCACTCTCTCAATCTCTTTCTATTTTCACTCACTCAATATGTTCCTATTTTCACTCCCTCAATCTTTACTTCCTTCATTTTTTAATTTTCAGATTTGTTCTCTCTCATCTCATTTATTTTGATTCTTAAATTACCCTTTGTTTAGTGTCATCACTGATCTGATACATCACTGTCACAATAAATTTTGTTTTATGCAATGTATCATATTCGTATTTAAGGTATTGACATATAACACTAATGTTGCTGAATATAACATATCATTTACATGTATTAAGTTCTTTAATGTACCATCAGTCTTATTCAAATTTAAAAGGCTACATAGAGAATAATAAATCAGTTGTATGTTATATATTTGCACCCTATAATATTTGTTTAGTGTGCGATATATATGTACATTTACCCAATAATAATCTTGATTTATAAGTCGTAATTTTCTATAAGTAGAGCATTGTGTATCAGATCGAACAATAGGTATATGATATACACTCATTATTTGAAAAACAATCTTATTTATCGTATAATTTGCACATGTATAACTAATTATTACTTCAAACTAAAATTTGATCAAGACTAAAAAAACGATACTAAGAAATGTGAAGAAACGAATAACAAAGACATAATTGCTTAGAAACATCTTGTTTGGAAAAATAATGATGAGACTAGATTACATTTGATAGTCAACACATATATTATTATGTGAATTAGGATCTGGGAGTTGTTAATTCTTTAAATAAACTATATATTATATTAAAGAACACAAATTTCTAATATTATGATAAAGAGAATTTAATATTATTTTAGAATTAGATAATGGTTCAATATATAAATAACGCCTTCAATTGATACTAAGGTGCCTTAATTATTTCAGTGTAAAAAAAAGTGAATATTTCCTTCCTTTATTGTTTTATTTTTTTGAAAATTTATTTTTGCAAAAGAATTCTAAAAAGAGTAAGGCGAAGTTTGATTTGGTAAAAGTTTAAATTTTAAAATTATATGTATCTGATACTTAATAACTATCAGACAGTAATGTATCGATCTAAAATATAATATTTACGGGCAATCTTTACTTCTCTAATGTATCAAATAGAATTACAGTACTTAGTAATGTATTAAATAGTTTAGTAATAATAATGTATCATGATTAATATATACTTCTTGTCCATAATGTAACTTGTCTAGTTAAATCTACCACAATTACATATTTTCGCAACCTTATTATATCAGATACATTTTCAACTAGATCATGATACATTATATAATGTATCTGAACCATGTTGAGTAGTACCATCTTAAGAGTACTGAGACATATCCAAACTTTCACAGATCCAAACTTACGTACATTGCAGACATTCATCACCATCATTACATAATTTTTATGGAAATTAGAAATAGAAGCAGAATTTCAGAACCATTCAAAAATACAGCAAAAACAAATTGTCGAATTGGATGCAATTAGGTTTACAATTCTTGACAGCTTAGGCAAGAGACTTCCACTCTTTATTTTCTCTAATTACCGCTGCTCTCATTCTTCTGATATATGCTTCCTTCTCCATTCTCTCTTGCTTCTCAATCTCATCTTGATGAAGAGCGATCAAGACTTCGGATTCATAAATGAAATAGATTGTCCAACGACCTTCGTAAATTACTGTTGACACCCAATTTTGACCGACCTTTAACCATTTTTAGGAATGCTATTCGATGTAATGCGTATTTTAAAAATATTTAAAGTTTAGAATTTTAGTCGATTTTGTATGAAATTATATATTTTAGTATGTTTACTTTATAAAATTATTGTTAAAATATTTTAAAATTATTGATGAATTTTGAATATTTTAAAATTTAAGTAATTTTTGATTATGTAAAAATATTTATAAAATTTATAGTATTTAAATTGGATGGCATTTTCTCAATTTTTCCTCAATTTTTTTTAAGTTGTAGCCTATTTTATTCTAATTTCTTTCAATTCTAGCCCATCCAATTCTAATTTTATTTCGATCATAGCAACTCTTTCATTTTCAATTCTAACCGATTTTATTGCAATTTTAGTCATTCCATATTCAATGCAATTCGACTTTAAGACTCCATATTTTAATCTCATCCGTTCATTTAATTAATTAAATACTAAATCAAATCCTAGCCCCTTATCTCTTCTAAAATCAATGGTCCAGATTTAATCTATCTTTTCTACCAAAGAGACATAAACCTAAAAATTTTATTTTATTCCTCCCTCACCCATATCTCCAGCCGCCTCTCTCTCCCTCCATTCTTTCCGGTGGTTAATCACCACCTCCAAGTGGTGGCAGCCGCCCCTCTTCCCCTCTCCGTCTCCCGCCCCCTATCTTCTCCCTCTCGCCCCTCTTCTCGTCTCCCTCCTCTTCTCTCTTCTTTTGGAGGCAGCAGCAACCGCCGAAAGCAACAACTCCGGTCAGCGAACTCCATCAAGCGTCTTTGAAGTTTTAAGACGGATCTATGATAGATTTGTCCGGGTTAGTTTCTCTTTTAAATCATAAATGTAATTTGCCTAATGTTATGAATGTTATCGATGAGCGAAAATAAATTGTGAGTTTCTTGATCTTATGGACTGTTCTTGTTGATTTTTCAAAAAATTTCGAAGCTTGTGTATATCATATGCTAGTTAGTTTTGTCTCTCAATAAGTCTTAAATGAATTTTGGTGTGGATGATCGAGTGATGTTGCTTCTGTGTTAACTGATTAGCAATTAACTTATTGTGTTGATTTAAAATTGGTCCATGAATTTTTAAATTTAATCTTTGCGTTCGTTTTGAATCTAGCTTGCTTAAGTATAGTGTAGATTACTTGATAATGGATTGATATGATTACAAAGTATTTTTTCGTATTTGATTCTGTGTTAAATATATAAATAATATTGTTAGTATACTATTATTTATGGCTATCCTTGGTTGACTTATGTGACATGCTTATGTGTGATTAAAAAAATATTCAAATTAATTTGCTAAAATTATAGATTAAATCTTTGTTCATGTGATTAAAAAAAAAGGTTTCTTACTTACTTATTTTTGGGAAGATATTTACACATTCTGAAAATATTGATTTTATAATTTAGCTCTCTCTTAAAATGAATTAAAAATATTAATCGATCTCCTTTTCCTTCAACGTTTGTCTAGATTGATTCTTACATATTTATTTATTGTAATTAGGTAAATGTTTGACCTTAAATTATTTCCTTGTAATATTTAGTTGCTCATGTATATGGTAGAATAATAATATTTTTTTTTTAAAAAAAAAATCAATTTTGGCTCTTCATTAGTTAAGGAAAAAATAATTGTGTTCTTCTTAATTTATTCTTATTTGTTTATATTTGGTAGCATGATAATAATTTTATTTTAGTTCTTCTTTATTTAAGAAAAAAATATTATTTTTTTCCTAACTTTTATTATTACAAGTTTATTTGTGGTAATGAAATATTATTAGAATTTTCTGATTGATCCTCCTCTAAAATAAGGAAAATGGTACAATAATTGATTCCTTAATTTATTTATTTTTCTTTATTAAATGCACCCCTTTTTGCTATATAAGTAGACCCTTCTCTCATTCATTGAGATACTAACTCTTGCTACAATTTCTCTCATTTTCTCATTGCTCATACACATATTCATCCTCTCAACTCATCACTCATTCTTCTAATACAAATTGATAATCTTTTCTATATAATTGGTTAGTCCTCTTTATTAATTTTAATTTGATTTTTTTCATAATTATAATATTTAGTTGTTGAAAAACGAAACAACAAGGAAGCATCCAAGTTAGTTTCATTATCCTTTTACGTTTGATAAGATAACTATGGTTATTCTGTATCCCTTCTTATGTATTATTTACATATATATGAGAGTAATTTGTTACTATGAGCATTCTGTTTACACCTATTTCCTCATCGTATATGTGTTACATTACCTCTTCTTCCAAGTTTTGAACTTAGAGTTCAAGATGTTGAAGATTTGCCTAGAAGAAATTGTGGACGAAGCCTCGTTCATTTTATTATATATATGTTTATTCACTATTTATTTTTACTTTTAATGTTTGTACAACTCTTTAACTCTCTATATATAAAATAAAATATTTTGGGGAGATCACCTAAGGGGAGAGAATTTACATGCTACTTGTTTACCGTAATTGTCAAGTTAGAAATCATGCCTATAGGTATTATGTGATTCTCAAAGGAATTTCAAAAAAAAAATTCGCACATCTTAGTCTTGTTTGGTGCGGCATAATAAATTAAATTGAATTATTTTTATTTGTACATATTATGTCTTCTTGTTATCTCATTATTAATTGCTTAATATTTGGTCAATATTTTTAATCACCTAGATCGTATGCTCAAATAATAAATAATTGAAGTATTCTTAATTGTTTAGTAATTTATTGGGGTAGCTTAAAATAAAAAAAAATATAACAAATTTATTGGCTTATCTATTTGTCTATTTGTCTCCTCGCTTATCTTTATGTAATTGATTAATATTTGTTGTGTTTATTGTTTCCATCGCCTTTTAGCATGCTTAAAAATCAATTAAAATAATAATATGAGCTATTTGTTTGACTTGTTATATCATATAGTCTCGTATGCTAAATTAAATAAAAAAAAAAGAGTTTAATTGTTTATTTATTTCTATCACCTAATCTCACATGTTTAAATTAACTAAAATAAAAAAAATTAATTGCTTAATATTATGTCATCACTTAGCAAGCTCAAATAAACTAATAAATGAAGTGACCTTATTTGCTACTTGTAACCCCCACATAAATTGCATGAGATACGGTCGGGACCCACATTTGTGGACCTCGAGGGATGCTTAACACCTTCCCCTCGAGGTAATTTAAACTCTTACCCTGATCTCTGACTCGTTGACCTTAGCTAGACTTAGTAAGGTTAGATAGGTGCCCTAACGCGCCTTAATTCGTTAGGTGACGACTCCTTTAAACTCAAAATCCCAAAAGAGTTGTTATATCGTGCACAAAACCCATTTTTACGAAAAAATGGGGCGCGACAATCACATCGCACACCCAACATCAACAAAATCAATATATTCATCTTCTACAATGATTTTTTCTAGTTATTTGAATTTAGAAGTTTTTAAGATAGTAATGGTTCCTTGATGGAGAAGTTGTGATTGTAAAATTTCAAATTTGTGAATCTGCTAGGTATTACATGCATTATTTACAACATGTCAGGCGTGAGTTATGGGATTGAAATTAATTAAAATAAAATTTAAGTTATTTTATTCTTTTTAAGCGTAACAACACCATTGAATGTATCAGAAATTATGTATCTGGCAACCACTTATGTATCTATATCCCTCTTATTTTAAGGGATTTCTGTAAATGAAAACTAATAGGGATAGGATGTACTTTTATCTTAAACTATATGATTCCTATAATTTATACATTTTATATTACTCCCTATATTTTCAAATTAATTGAATTGTTAAAGTGTTTCACACTCTTTAAGTAAAGAAGATTAGAGTAATTTCCCTAGATAGTCACCCATGTTTGGAAAATTACCTAGGAATATCACTTATGTTTGTTTTAGGACTACAATATCATTCAACTTTGCCTATTTTCCTCAAATTATACTTGACATAAAAATATATTATCTCTCTCTTATTAGGATGCAATGTCACGTTATTTATTTATTTATTATTAAAAAAAGTATGCTTTAAACCTATTTAAACTTTAGGTTGCAATATGTTTTCTTTTTTAAATATTATTTTTTAAATTTATGTTTTGTGGAAATGTTTTATTTTTTTAGATATATAAAGATAAATTTTAAAAAATGAATGAAAAAAGTACCATATTTCTACAACAAACATTGTTTTAACTATTTTTAAAAATAAGTTTCTTTTAATTTTTTTTAATGATAATTATTATATTTTACTATAAGTTTTTTAATTAATTTTTTAAATAATTGTTATAGTTGTTTTACGGTGCACTTTGTCTTCTCCTATTTAAATAGATATTTCTATATTCCATTTTGTTAGAGCATTTTCTAAAATCACTGAAAGTGTGATAAATATAAATAGACACTACAGTTTTTTTCTGTAAAATAATTCAATTTTTATTTTTCATTTTTTAACCTTACAAATTGAAATTTGAAGCATTTAAAGATCTTTCATTTTTTCCCCATAATAGTCATTACTGTTTTTTATAAAAAAAAATAGTTCAATTTCATTTTTTTCCTTTAAAATTGAAATTAGAGGCATCTAAAAATCATCCATTTTTTGCCGTTACAGTTTTTTTTTTAAATTTAAAATAGCTATATTAAAATTCATGTTTTTTAATTGTATTTTTAGAGCATATTTAAAATGCTTCTTGAAAAATTAAAATTCTTGAATATTTATGATACTTTTTACTTCTCCTATTCTATATAGATAAATTTCTTTAAAAAAAAATAGACAAACTCACATATTATACCCAATAAAAAAATTATATTATGAACTGTAGTATGAGCTCCTCCGGTTCTCCAAGAAAGTATGTGGGCTCCTCCGGTTCTTTAAAAGAATTAGAAAAATATTAATAATAAATTTAAAAATGTGACATGACACCCTAATAGGAGAGAAATAATTATTTTTTAAAAAATTAAAAAATAGTTAAAACAGTCCACTAGTAGTTAGTTGTAGAAATAAAGTACTTTTTTTTATTCATTTTAAAAATTTATCTTTATATATCTAAAAAACAAAACATTTTCAACTTAACATAGATAGAAAACAATATTTTGAAAAGAAAACATATTGCAACCTAATGTTTAAATAGGTTTAAAGCATATATTTTAATAATAAATAAATAAATAATGTGACGTGGCATCCTAATAAGAGAGAGATAATGTATTTCTTGTGTCAAGTATAATTTGAGCAAAATAGGTAAATATGGGTCATATTGTAGTCCTAAAACAAACATAAATGACATTCTTAGTTAATTTTCCAAACATGGGTGACTATCTAGAAAATAAGATTAAGACATAAAACAGACATAACTTTTCATATATACCTTTATTAATTATTGTCAAATTCATGGTTAACATGACTAAACATTAATTAATAACGACTTCCAATATAAATTAATGAAGCGTAAAATTGGAATGACATTCTAAAAATAGTCTTGAAAATTAAACAATTAAGTTAATTTGTAAAATAAAAAATGGCGTAGCAATTCAATTAATTTGGAGGGAATATTATTTCTATTTCATGTCTATTTTTTATTTCATAATATAAATTTTTTGTTTCTTTTTAAAAAATATTCTTTATATAACTTTTAAGTGCTAAAAATATTATTTTTAATTTTTTAAAATATAAAATTATGTTTTACTTAAATTTCTAAATAATATAACCATAATCGACAACAATTCTCTGGATCATACCCTAATTTCATCCCAATTTTATTGTGGCATGGATTACATGCAACAAGAAAAATAATAAATAATTGAAAAATAAATTGACAATCACAATCATAATCGCAACAATTCTCTGAATCATATTCTAACTTTTTTCTGAATAATGCTAAATCTGAAAACAATCTATTGAATCACTAAATTATTCTTGTGATAATTATGTTATGTATTATATTATTTATATTGTATTCAAATTATTATGTTATGTATTATATTGTTATCTTATATTCAAATTGTGATGCTATGTATTGTAATTTTAAATTAAAATTTTCATCTTTATCCTTTTTACTTTTGTATACCCATTATAATGAAATTTAATAATAAAATCAAATTACATTTTCTAGAAAAAAAAATTAATTTTTTTTAATTTGGAATGAAAATAGTATATATGAAATAATTTTTTTTAAAAATATTATATTACATTTTAAAAACATTATGAATATTAAATATTTAATTAGTGATATTATATATAAAATAATATGTTAATTAAAAAATATTATAAATAATAGTAAAATATTAAAAAAGTGAATAGAGGATGTGAACAGTAATTTCCAAATTTGGAAAACTATTGTTCTAACTCTCTAAATATGAAAAATAGAGAGTGTTATAGAAAATGATAAGTATGATAAAAATAGAGTGAAGATAGTATTATTACTAGAACATAGATTGATACAGTAACACCACATGTAAGTTGCTCTGATAAGATAGCTCCATGTGTTAGCTTGGTGTATTATAAATTTTTTAAATTAATCATACAAAAAATTTCTACACGTGCATTAGAATGATCAATGATATAACTACCCCTCAAATTTCAATCAATACATTTTCTGTTTTTCAAAACTAAAGAGTGAGGAAACTTTTTTGTAAACAGGTACTGCTTTTTATCGAAGTCATGCAAACCATTTTATTTTAAATACTGCAAAACAAATCATTGCATAAAAAATAATTGGAGCATAATTAATGCAATTATTATTAAATATACTCTATTCATCAATATTATTGTACATCTTAAGGGGTCGATTGATAGTGTATAAGAATAGTGTTAAATAGAAAGTGTATTATAGTCATATATGTATTAATTATACTTGCATTAATTATAACTCGATTATTTTTAGTTTTATGCACCATTTGATTTGATGCATTAAAAATAACATGTATTGCATAATAAAAGTTATTTACAAAGGTACCCTCTACTGTTATGGTGGAAAAGATGTAAAAAGAGTTTTGAAGAGCAATTAAGCCTTTAATCATGCTAAGACATGCATTAAAACCATTGCTAACAATATACATTTTAACACATAATAAAATGTATAACTAATACAAGTATTAATTATATATAGATTAGAAAAAAAAATACCAAATAAGGTACTAATATACGCAAGACTAATGCATACATTGTTTTTCCTAATAACTCTACCAAACGAGGAGTATCGTCGTAATATATCTCAAAATGTAACTAACTTTAAAAAATCATGTTCATAATTTCCAAGCAACTCCTTCATGGTTAATTTATACAATTAACAACACGTACATATCACACAATAGCTACAATATTCAACACCCAAATTTTCTACCAGTTGGCCTAAACATGCTATCCATTATCACTTTGTGTCTCTAAGATGGAAGAGCATGGTCAAAAATATTTGACTCAAGATTTAATTCCATGATTTCCATCCCCGTTTAGAAGTTAGAAATTACTTTTCCTGGGAAAGAGGGTAAACTAAAGCAAGCTTCTAAGAAGTGTACAGAACTAAATCACCCTTAATCTTGTCCACATTGAACTAGTTGAAAATATAGGGTGGAATCACTCACCAAAAGGGTAGTTGTAAAATTAAAATGATTTTGGAACATTTGATCACTTTGTACGGCTTGATTTAGGCCATAAATAGTCGTAAAAGCCTTTTTTTTTTTACCAAACTTAGGCTTTTGCCAACATCACTTCTTTATTCTTGTATTCCATCTAAATTTATAATTTTTGCTTACAATTTCATCGCTTGTTATAAAGGAGGTAAGGGTGCCAAAAGAAAGGACTCAAAAAGGTCAAGGTGTCAAATAGGGTGACCAAGGAATTCAGTTAAGGCTCAATGGGATTGACTAAGATCAATGTTAATGAAAGAGAGTTTGGGTAAAGTGACTTAATCAAAGAGAGTCGGTTCATCTTCTAAGTAGGGATGGACACGATACGATACAATACATATCTGAATTTGATATTGTAACTTCAATATTTGATTTTTACAATATTTATACAATTATCATATCAATTTAATTTATTTTGGTACGATTCGGTATTTTGAAGTTTAATTTCAATATTTTATGATATGGTAAAACCGGTAATGTAACAAAAGCTGTAAAGTCAAACATAAAAGAAAATATAGAAAGGTGGTTGAAGCAAGTTCTACGAGTCCAACCTATGGAACATAGAAATTCCTATGGGCCGTAGGAAGAGAGTCGTAAACCTGGAGATGAGTTCTTGGAAAATATAAGTTTTTGAAGTTCATATATGGATGAACATGACGAATTGTAGATGGTTTTGACGGACCGTAAAAAGGTCCCATAAAAGTGTTCTAGACTTAGTAAAATCTTGGAGTGAAAGTTGTGTTCTACAATTTGGGTCCACGGCTTGTAGAAAGCCCTATAGGCCATAGAAAGATCTCATCAAAGTCGGATGAAGTTTAAGACTCTAGTACTTGGTCAATGGTTGACCAATATAGTCCGTATGTTGCAATCATAGAATCAATCTGCTAGTTATTCTAACGTTATTTGAGTCTTTTTCTATATTTCATATTTCTATACTACATAGTTCCACCCCTAACTCTAAGCCCTATTACTACCCGTTACCTTTTGAAAGTTCCCCAACTCTCTCTTTCCATCAAATTTTCAAACCCTCTCCAACGTTTTCACCAAAATCCTCTCTCTAGATCAAGGGAGAAGCTAGGGTTCTTTAAAGTCTTCAATCTTCACAAATTTGCTTAGGTCTTAAAGATCAAGGTACGGAGAGAGTTCATCAATGATTTTCATTCACCCATTGTCCCTAGGTTTTTTCGAATTCTCTATTTCAATATCTCTAAATTGATTAGATTTTTCTTTCACTTCTTTCATGGGTTCAATTGATGTTGATTCAATTGTTCAATTTTGATCTTATTATGATTGATTTAACTCAATTACATGCTTTCAATTTGTTTTACATGAACACATGCATTGATCATAATTTAAACTATGAACCTAATTTGCATAAACTTATGCAGAAGCTATGAAGATATGAATAATGTTTTCATGAACTCATACATGAATTATGAAGAAAAGGTTTTATATTCTAGGTTTCTTTAGATTGACATCACTGAAATTGTAAAATGTTTTCTCTTAAATTAAGGGATAATATCTTGGTGAAAAGTTTTCTCATTATACTTATTCAAGATTCAATGAACCACTCTATGATGTTTAGCTTAGATTAATAACTTAATTGTGTTTCTCATAGACGATGACCAACCAAACAGTCATAATATATATATATATATATATATATATATATTATGACTATTCGGTTGGGATTTAACTTAGCACCGAGAGAACTTTGAGGTGGAGGTCAAATAGAGTAGTCTCTATTAGCAACATCTAGTTTCAAACTATGTGCCTATGTAGGTTTGCCTTAAATAGCCTAGATAGTGGATTCATATATGACATATGATATGATACGACGTTCTATCTTGTGGAGTAGAATCTCTCTTTTCAATATAGGAGTTACATCAGATTCCATGTCGCATGGTCTATTGTTAGTTAAAATTAATATCCCACAAAATGAACTAAAGTTACTTTCAAATATCTTATGAAACTTCCTTTATGATTTCAAGATCCATTGACTATGTACATGATTATGATTCTCTTTAAAGGTTTTTTTTTACTATGTTTAACTTGGTCATGCACATCATGTTTTCGATTATGTCCCTTTATGACCATGTTAAACATTGTCATACATGTCCTTCATACTATTACATTTCTTGTACTAATGCATACTTGTGCCTACATTGTTTCACAAATATAGGGCTGATCGACTCCTCTCACTCCGTTCATTTCTAGTTGATCATTGCAAGGATTTTAAGACTTAGTGATTCCTCACACTCCAAGGACTTTTATTGCATTTCTTATGTCTTTATATATCGAATATTGTGTGTGGTGTACAAATTACGCCCTGACCCTCCTCTATATAAGTGTGAACTGGAAAAATTACTATTTATAATTATGCAATTTTTATTATATTCTCATGGAAATCGATATCTTTAAAATACATTATTATATAGTGTGAGGGAGAATAATAAGTCTTGTCTAAATTTTGAGATTGTTACATAATTTTGATTAAAGTTCGGATATATCAGGAATCATTTTCCCTATTTTGTAACGACACTTAAGCTTCCTTGCTAATAATATTATCCAGTTAAATAAAAAAACTAAGATATAAAAGATATACTAAAGGACATCGCTTATCAAACGTAACTTATAAGTCTAACAATTAAAAGCCATATGTAGATTTCATCCTATTTTTGACTTATTTTTAATGTTTTTGGCATTAAAGTGAATGCTTAAAAGCAGTTTAATTTTTCCAAATACCTCTAAAACTTAAAAGGTGGTTAAAAGTCAAAAGCACCTAAAAGTAAGTTAATATAAATGAGCAGTAAGTCTTGATATTATGTTCATGCATTTAAGGTAATATATAAATATATGGACTATGCATCCTTACCACCAAGAAAAAAAAAACTTTTCAGAGTAACAAGGAATGATTTGTCACCAAAGAGGCCACACATGACGTCTGTATAAACGAAAATGAAAAAACTTCACTAAGCACCATTAGACCAAGTGCATCACAACAATAGTCTGATGTTTCAAATTCAAAAATATCCAAAAATCATGCATCTACACAACAATATACTGCAGCAACTTTAGATTCCAAAGAGCCCTTGTCCAACTGGTATTTCTTGTTCCTAAGGTAACTCCTTTTAAACTTAACTTTGCCGCCCTAGTGCATGGGATATTTAACGGCAAGTCAGCAGCTCATCAACCAAGGTTCAGGTGCAACTATTGTCCCATCTCTCAAGGAATATTGATATCAAAATCTACTGCCGTTCAATTGTGCAACAGAATTTACTGCATCGGGAGAGTATGACCACAAACGACATCATCTTGCATTTAGGTACGATTAATTACTGTACATATCACAGCATACCTACTTGCCTTGACGTTCTAAGGTGCCATAGTACTATCTACCATATGAGTTGACACATTTGAGCAAGGATGCCCAAGCTCTCCCACAGTTTTTCTGTACATCTTCAAGTGTGAACACCATTAGGAAGATAATTTCGCTTCATCTCTTGCTAGGACTGACACGCCCATTAGTCATCTGGAAATGTGAGTAAATTTTTTTTTGAAAACTAATCAACTCTAGCTTCTTGCATGTTGTTACTAATGCCTTAGAGATATATATTCAGAAGCTTGAATGAATAACTTGAATAGGTGGTGCAAACACAGATACAAACATAGCTAACTATAAAATAAAATTCTTCAAGAAAATGATAAATCAATGACCAAATCATGACAAGTACTATATGTTGTCCCTCAGAGGATAATACCTGGAGAGGATGTTTTAGATAACAAACCTTCCACACTCATATCTGACCTTCTATCCTGAATATGTGAAATGAGATCTGAAGTTCAACAGATTGGATCATGGATTCAGATACAATCTCAGCACTCATTGTTGATTGCATTTTGATTATCACACTATTTTGTTCTTTTTGCTTTCCTCTGGTAGACCTTGCAATGTTTCCTTTTACCTGCTATGTTTTCTTCATTTCACTCTCTTTCTTCTTTGTACGTAGATTTCTGCTGTGGGGCGTACGAACAAGATGTCTCAATCAATAATTCCTTAATGAGTCATAAAATCCTCAAACGGGGAGGATAAGTATTCTAAGACATTAACACTATAAAAAGTATGAATGGAAACACCAATTGATTTTGTTTTTCTACACAAACTTTTGAACATAGAATAACAAAAAATGTTCTTTCATTAAGAAAATCCAAGTATATCTTGAATAATCATCAATGAAACTAACAATATAACGAAATCCTAAGGTGGAACAAACTCTACTAGTACCCCAAATATCAAAATGAACTAATGAAAAAAATAGACTTTAAACCCTCAGCACTACGTGAAAATGTAGTGTAGGTGTGTTTCCCAAGTTTACATTGTTCACAATACAATGTGGATAGACTAGACAAATTAGACACCATCTTATGTAGCTTGGGACAAACAAGGATGTCCCTAACATTTGTGAATTAGGTCTGGAGGATCCGTAATGGAGCATGTTATGGAGGAATTTGAAGAGGTAAGATAGTAAAGGCCTTGTAATTCATATCCCGTGTCAATCATTTGTCCCATACTGCGCATGAGAAAAACATCGTCAAAATTTTTTATGGCATAGGGTAGGGCTTGTGTCAAATGACTAACAGATGCAAGATTAAAAGGACAACTAGGGACATAAAGAACAGAGTTTAGAATGACGAAGATAGGGATTTGGCTTGTACAACTCCATTTGATTTTGGTTAGATCCCATTAGCTAAAGTAATAGCAAAAAGAGGTTGTGAATTAAAAAAATACCATACAAAAGTGATTTATCACAATAAAATATGATCAGAAAGCGCCTGAGTCCACAACTCACGATCCATGTGTACTAGATTGTGAAACACGAGCAGAGGAATTGCTAATACCAGAAGCGTCAAGCTGAGCAATTTAGGCTACTTATGAAGACATCTGCGTACTTGCTCGATACAGAATAAACTCGTCACATTGTGTCTAAGCAATATGAACATTACTGGATGGTCAACCAAGCTAAGAAACAAAGGCTAATAGCGGGGAACTCATTATATTCCTTTGAGCAGTAGGATCATTATTAGTGGTCGAACATGCAGAGTATAACATATATTACGAGTGTGTCCAATCATATAGCAACAACTACACTTAATTGAGATATTCCAAAACTACCTCCTCCTCTTCGATTCTCCAAGATTTTCATTTTTCTATGGTTTGAGATGCGAGAACAAAGAAGTCAATGGAGGGTGACGACACCACTTTGTGACGAGAGGCGCGATAAGAAAAAGTAGACGAGAGAATAATTCATCAAATATAGGAACTATATGAGTACCTAAAATCTCATCATGCACTGAACAAAGATTAGTAGGAAGTTCACCAAGGGTAAGTACTAAAATCAATGATGGTCTATGTGTTGAGTCAAT